TAAATTAAGCTCTGTTGCTTGGATATCACTAGATCCTGTTACATCAGCGTAATATAAAAGTAGCCTACACAACGACTGATGTGTAAATTAGCATAATTACTAGCTAGCCGCTAACTGCAACGGCCGCCTCGTTAATATCAAATCCATCATAATAACAACCCATTACCATGCTGTCATGAAGGCGCGGTGCTCTTACCTCTTACGTGTAGGCAAATTGACGTGCTTCTTCTTCTCTTGAAATTGACATGCTTGATGTGAACGAGCATTTTGGGGAGTGTGGTTAAAGTTGTGCACGCGCTATGAGCGCACATACGGGTACTTCTCAGGCATGACGGGTAATCTGTGACGTTTCGCTCTCTCAAAAGTTGGGCCATTTTATCATCATGCGCCAATGAGCAACTCTCATAGGAATGAATGAGGCCCCGCCTCCCACGCTGTATCCAGTTCTTATTATACATCCATGACACAGACATCCACTCGAAGTCAACCATTTTTCTGAAGAAAGTGCTGACATGGGGGTTTAAATTGCCATGCCTCTTTTTGGCTTTCGAGCCCGTCTCAGGATTAATGCCCAGGAAGCACCTGAAAACAATAAGCCAAGACAACAATTTCAATTTGACATAGATTTATATGTTGCATAGTTTATTTGAAGGCACATGCAGCGGTGCCCCTTTCAAACCAAAGAAAGAAATTAGTATTTAAAGCCAAGCAAGAGCGATAAATGCAAGAAAATCACTTAATTTGTTGTGTTATCACAGAGGATGGTCTGAATACAGTATTTTACTATGAAATAATACAGTAACATGTTGTGAAATCCTGGTAATCATTTATCCTGTACATTCACAGTAATTAACTGTGCCTGCATTGATTTCACTGTGAAATTCAAAATTACAGTATTATATTGTGAACATTACAGGTAAAGACTGTAAAGTGGTAAAACAGTAATTTATTGTAAAATATTACAGCTAAATATTGTGAAATCATGGTAATATTTTACAGTGTAGGATTGTTGTCTTTATGTCCAGGTTTCTTCCTGGTTCATCTGTTTTGGGTTAAGTATCGTGTTGTAGACATTAAGCTGTTCTATTAAAATCATAACTTTTTAAACCCTGTCTCTATTTTAAAGTTTGATTTTCATCATCAAATTTTTCCTGATCCTCTCATGTTTGCTTCTCTTTCAGCAGATAGTGGTGTGCAGGAGGTTTTAGATGAACATAGGCTCAGTCTGAGGAGGAGATGTGAACGTGTGACTGAAGGAACTGATCAAAGTGAAACCCTCCTCAACAGCATCTTCACTGAGCTCTACATCACACAAGGCCTCAGTGAAGAGGTTAATACCCAACATGAGGTGAGGCAGCTGGAGACAGCTTCCAAGAAAGAGACCCTCCATGAAACTCCAATCAAGTGCCAGGACATCTTTAAAGCCTTACCTGACCAACAGACTCTCATCAGAGTGGTCCTGACCAACGGAGTCGCTGGAGTTGGAAAAACCTTCTCAGTGCAGAAGTTCACTCTGGACTGGGCCGAGGGTTTGGAAAACCAAGATGTCAGTCTGGTGATCCCGCTCTCCTTCAGGGAGCTGAACCTGATCAAAGGTGAGCAGTACAGTCTTCTCAGGCTGCTCCATGTTTTCCATCCAACCTTACAGAAGGTCACAGCAGAGCAGCTGGCTGTCTGTAAAGTGCTGTTCATCTTTGACGGCCTGGATGAAAGCAGACTTTCTCTGGACTTCAGAAACAATGAGGTTGTGTCTGATGTCTCAAAGCAGTCCTCAGTCAATGTGCTGCTGACAAACCTCATCAGGGGGAAGCTGCTTCCCTCGGCTCTCGTCTGGATAACTTCCAGACCTGCAGCGGCCAATCAGATCCCTCCTGAGTGTGTGGACAGGGTAACAGAAGTACGAGGCTTCACTGACGCCCAGAAGGAGGAGTACTTCAGGAGGAGATTGAGTGATGAAGACCTGTCCAGCAGAATCATCTCTCACATCAAGAGCTCCAGGAGCCTCCACATCATGTGTCTGATCCCAGTCTTCTGCTGGATCACTGCTGCAGTTCTGGACCACATGTTGACTACAGACCAGAGAGGAGAGCTGCCCCAGACCCTCACTGACATGTACTCACACTTCCTGCTGGTCCAGACCAAGAGGAAGAAGGAGAAATATGGTGAGGGACATGAGACGAGTCCACAGCAGCTGACGGAGGCTGACAGGGAGGTTCTTCTGAAGCTGGGGAGGCTGGCGTTTGAACATCTGAAGAAAGGAGACATCATGTTCTACCAAGAAGACCTGCAGCGCTGTGGTCTTGATGTCACCGAGGCCTTGGTGCACTCAGGAGTTTGTACAGAGATCTTCAAAAGAGAGAGTGTGATCTTCCAGAAAACAGTCTACTGCTTTGTTCATCTGAGCATTCAGGAATTTCTGGCTGCAGTCTACTTGTTGCACTGTTACACCAACAGAACCACAGCGGTACTGAAGGACTTCCTGAAGAGAGACTGGCCCTATAAGAACAGTAAAAACAGATATCAGGATTACCCATCCCTGGATCTCTTCCTACAGAGTACCATGGAGAAATCCCTCAGAAGTAAAAATGGCCACCTGGACCTGTTTGTCCGCTTCCTTCACGGCCTCTCTCTGGAGTCCAACCAGAGACTCTTAGGAGGCCTGCTGGGTCGCACTGACAACCGTCCAGAAATCATCCAGACAGCCATCAACAACCTGAAGGAGATGAACAGTTCTAAAATCTCTCCTGACAGGAGCATCAACATCTTCCACTGTCTGACAGAGATGAAGGACCACTCAGTACATCAGGAGATCACAGAGTTCCTGAAATCAGAGAACAGATCAGAGGAGAAACTCTCTGAGATCCACTGCTCTGCACTGTCCTACATGCTGCAGATGTCGGAGGAGGTTCTGGATGAGTTGGACCTGGAGAAGTACAAAACATCAGATGAGGGACGACGGAGACTGATTCCAGCTGTGAGGAACTGCAGAAAGGCACTGTAAGTCCAGATGTGATTAACTTTATACATTTTATCAAAAGTTTAGTTGAAGACAAATGAAGGACTTTAGAAGTGTTCTCACAGCAGCATGTGATCACAACATACAGCAGTATGTTACAGTTATCAGTGAATGCAGTCATTCAGATATCATTCAGTTTGTTCAACATCTGTTTTTCCACAATGTTTAAGAGTTTAAAATAAGATCTGATAGGCTGACAATGAATATAGAAAACTCTATTATTATATTAAGTTGATTAACATAGAATGTTACTCAGAACATGAACTTGTTTCATCAAATTAATATAGTGTTTCCTCTCTTTATGATGACTATTTATGTAATATTTGTGTGACAGGCTTTATAACTGTGGACTCTCAGAGTCTCACTGTGAAGTCGTGGCCTCAGCTCTGAAGTCGGACCCCTCCCATCTGAGAGATCTGGACCTGAGTAACAACGATCTGCAGGATTCAGGAGTGAAGCTGCTGAGTTCTGGACTAAAGAGTCCAAACTGCAGACTGCAGACTCTCAGGTCAGTTCAATAACTGGATATAATAATATCATTATTATAATTCTATATCTTTTTTATATTCATCGTTTGTAGAATTTACAGAGAACAAATACATTGAAATTATTTTCTTCTGTTTTTGCTAATGGTTGAATATCGATCAGAATAACAAAGATCAGAGAAGGTGAATGTGTGACGGAGAGAGTTTCAGCTTCCACAGACTCACTCTGTGCTCCATGAGTCAGTGGAGATGCTGTCAGTACTGATGAGCTGTGAGGGAGATGAAGGAGTTGTTAAACATCTGATGAGAGAAACTGCTGCAGAGAGTTTGAGATTATCAGGGATTTGTTTCTACACCATTGCTGACATTCAAGCTTGTTCAGCTCTGAATAGATTATTAAACCTCGAGTTATTTCAAACTGGAACATTGTTTTTTAAAGTTACATAATCTTTTCTTTATTCAGACTGAGAGGCTGCAGGTTGTCAGAGATCAGCTGTTCTGCTCTGGCCTCAGCTCTGAAGTCCAACCCCTCCCATCTGAGAGATCTGGAGCTGAGTGACAACGATCTTCAGGATTCAGGAGTTAAGCTGCTGAGAGATCTTCTGAAGAGTCCAGACTGCAGACTGGAGACTCTTGGGTCAGTTCTCCATCTTTTACTTCTGTGCTGAGATGAAGAGAGTTGTGTTGACTCGGAGCTGCAGACATCAGGCTGATATCACTCTGATCCTCACTGAGCATCTTAATGCTGAAAACCCTACACTGCATAATTCACTCATCTTAAACACCTGAAACTCATCTTATATTCTGCAGAATGCTTTAAATAAATTATATAAAAAATACAACAAATGCATATTTCTATTAAAACTCCTAAACACTAATATTTTCTGAAGCTACACGATGCTTTTACTGACTGAATAGTTCAAACTGAAGATGCTGTGATTTGATGACTCCACTATTCCTAAAAAAAAGAAAAGAATGTGTGATCTTAAGTTGAATCAGTTTCTGTGGGTTTTATTGGTCTGGCTGCACATCATGAGTTTGTGTAGATGGAGCAGAGGTTCAGATGTGAAGTCACCTCTTTATTATTGAAGTAGAAGCACGTTGTCTTTAATATTAATGAGAGATCTTTTCACTTTTTGTCTCTTGCAGTTTTTACCTGTTCGAGTTTCCACTTTCTAACCTTCTTCAGCTCTGAACAGGTTATTAAACCTGGAGTTATTTCAAACGGGAACATTGTTTTCTAAAGTTACATCATGTTTTCTTTATTCAGACTGAGGTGCTGCAGTTTGTCAGAGATCAGCTGTGCTTCTCTGGCCTCAGCTCTGAAGTCCAACCCCTCCTATCTGAGAGATCTGGACCTGAGTCGGAACCATCTGCATGTTTCAGGAGTGGAGCTGCTGAGAGATCTTCTGAAGAGTCCAGACTGCAGACTGGAGACTCTCTGGTCAGTAAGGGGTCTCTGCTGATTCAGCAGTTTTGTATTAAACACAGGGAGGTGTTTCTCACACTGGGATCACAACAAGTCAGTGATGTTACCCACTGTCTGCAGGCTCTTTATTTTATTCTTCCAAAAACAATATATTGTAAGCAAAGGTACATTTAGTTAGTAAGCAACTTTCTAACAGACATATGATTTTTTACAAAAGAGTGAAAAGGGTTCTCTGTTTTGTTTTCCTGTCATGTTTTTTGTTTCTAGATTAATGACCAGTCATTTCCTCTGATGCAGCTGAGAGCAGTCAGTTGTAGTGTTTGCAGAGAATATATGATGGGATGTAAAGCCTTAGATCAGTCAGGACTCTGAAGCTGACTAACTCAAAGAACAAACACTTATTTTAAACTTGATCCAAAACTTTTGGATTGTGCTCATACCTACAGGATCAATGGCAGGCTAATCACGAGAAGAACTGTGAGTATTGAAACCATATCCTCCATTTATCAAACCATTAAGATCTGATCCTAAAAGGTTCAACAGAAACATGTTTTAACTCCATCTTGTTACAGCTCTCTCAATCATTTAGGATTATAATGTTTCTCTTTGTTTAACCTCTTAAGGACGACGGTCCCCCCATTGGACCCCTCCCACCGTTTTTTTTTCGAGACAATGTCTCAGGGCTTCTTAACATTTATGAAACTATTAATGTGTAGCACCAGATCAACGGGAAGAATCTCAGCTAACTGAAGATATGAACCATTTTTACCAAAACAAAACATAAGGGTAATACCAAGCCTCTGAATTAGCACTAAGCGAAAAAATGCTAATGCACTTTAGCACACAACTCAAGATAAAGATACCCTTATTACTTACCGTAGCTGCACATACAATATATCCGATTAAAGCTGAGACTCCACAGATTATTTAAGTATAGTATCATCACTGAGCGATCCGAACTTGCGACAGGGGAAGCAAACACAGACATCACAACACGTACCTTTACAGAGCTTTTACGGCAGATCGTCTCACCGTAGCTGTCAATTAGGTCAAAAGACGTGTTCAATGGCATTTAAACGGAAAAAAAAGGCTACAACTGTTGATCCATAGGTTACTAATGTACCTGTGCCTTTGAAAAAATTATTTATAATCCATAATTCCATTTTTATGTAAAAATCGGAGCTAAAAAGTTAGCTGCTAATGGTAGCCACCAGAGTGTATGCAGCTTCCAGTTTTGGTAACGCGTCACTCTCACTCCTTATTTGTTAACGTGTTGGTGTGTATAGAACTTTCCCTCGATTCCATTGGCTCTAGCGGTTATAAAGAGATTTCATTCATCAAAATCGACCAAGGCGGGCCAGAGATAGGTCAAATCCACCCAAATGACCCCAGAAGTGTTTTTTTTTGGCTAAATCTCTATATAAAGGTCAAATTTAACTTGTTTTGCATCAATCTTGATACAGGGTACTTATTATATGTTGTACTTTGGATTCCTAAAGCTTTTAGTCTACTAACCCATCATCCAAGGGTAGTTTTCACTATAAGTAAAAAATAAGTTTTGGACGGACACTATAATTTACAGTTTTTTACTATGTAAAATCTGAATTTTCTTTAAAATAAAAAACATCTATATTGATTTTGACTTTTCTACATCCAACTCACAGGTTTATCATTACTTTGAGAAAAAAGATTATTAATTTAACCCTTTTAGAAGGGAAGATATGGTCATTTGTTCTGGGAATGTCATTTTCGAGCCTGAGACCTGAAAAACAGGCTCAGTGCTTAACAGGTTAAGTTGTATTATTATTGATGTCTTTTCTCTGTCACTTCTTCCCTCCATCAAGTGACTCCGGTGTGGAACAGGAAGTGAAGCCAGACAGAGAGGTGAGAGAGGAGCAGTTGCACCGTGTGGAGTCTATTAATGAGGTTTCACCACTGATTAAAATGTATACTATTAATCAGTGTTTTTCTGGGATCCAGACAAATCTGCAAGCTCAGGTTTTATTTGTTTATTTATCACGGGGCGTGTTTCAGACGTAAAGAGGAGCGTGGAGGCATTTTGGAAAATGATCAAGAATGATGAGAGACTTTCTGTCCTCAATATTAAACAAACTGACTGTATATCTTTCATAAAAAACAAACAATCAGTTGCACTGAAAGCTTTTCTTGAACAAAGATTTGTCAACATAATTCTGCTGACGTTTAATTTACCAACTCGTATCAGAGTTAGGATTCAGTTTGTGCCAGTTAGGTTTGACACATGCAAGGAATTTGTTGTGTTGTTGCAAAGAGAGGAAACATAAATAAAGGAGAGAGGAACTACAATGAATAAAAAGTGCTGTGATTGGCTGATGCTGTGATTGGCTTGTGCTACTGTGTAGACTTATTTGACTTTTTGATTTTTTTCTCACGATGTTCTGGAATTGTAGTTTGTGTTCATTGAGCTGAACTTGATTTGTATTCCAATCACTAACTTTGTGCCTTTCTTAATTCCAGGCTCCAGTTTCCTTCTCACCGTAACACACACCTGAATCTTCAGACAGGTAATCCTATAACAGGACCAAACACTACTTTAAATATTGATATAATTATTAGTATTGAATGTGATGCTTCCCACCATGAGGTGTTGCATCCCCTCTCTTTCCAGCAGACATATATAATATAATGCTTCTATGTGTAAGATGGTATTCAGCAGTGGTTCTCAACCTCTCCCAGTCGCGACCCCTCAGAATAACTGTCTCCCCCCCCGACCTGCTGGAAATCCACACTGACTCTCAGATCACTCAATAACACCTGTTCTGAGGCTAGTGAAGTCACAGGTACAGGGTAGTTATCTTAAAGTTAAATATGTTATTTTTTCTTCATATCCGGTTGGCGGCCCCCCAGGTTGAGAACCACTGGTATACAGTTTACTCCCCTCGGATGGTGTCATTAAAATTACTCATTAATTAAAATGTCTAATTTTGATTCAACAACACATATAAAACATAGGTGTAGTCGTTTAGGTGATTCATGAAGAACTGTTTCATATTAAGTACATATATTGTATAAGTACATACAGTACATACATATGAATACTTTAGGTGAAGAAAAAAAAAAACTCCACCTCTGGGATCGTTGAGGAATATAAATATCTCAGTTTTCCTTAAAGCAGAAGACAGGAAGTGATTCACAGAGCAGATGGTATCAGTAGCAGAGTCACTACATTTATAAGACCTCTGTATGAAGTGATTGTTGGTTATTTAATAAAAGTGTTTCCCTGTTTATCTTCCAGGTCCACGAGGGAAAGATGCATTTTGCAGTGAAAATCTGATCGGAGCATATTCCAAACAGCAAAGAAAACAAGAACTGGTGAAACAGGTTTTGGATAACACACCTCTCGCTGCTATGCTGGCTAACGTTGTTGTTGTAAACAGGAAGTCAGCTGTGCTCTGTGTGAGCTCCTGATGATGAGTCCACGCAGCCAGCAGTGTTTGTCTGATCTGATACTGCAGAGTTTTACAAAGGAAAGTGACTTCATGTCTCGTCCACAGAACCGTGTGCAGCGTGAGGATAGAGACACACGGTGAATTGTAAATTGTTTGCAAAGTAGAACATGTGTTTAGAATTTGAGACTGGAACTGAGGTTTGTCTCACTGTCCGTTTCAATCATTGAGATGTGTCATCAATTAAAAACCAAAAAATGATAGTCTATTTTTACTGCCTTAGTTTCACAACAATTGGGAATGTGACGGCATCAACAGCATGTCGGCCATCTTTGGAGGATACCAGCGAATTCAACCATAAGACTAATTATTACAGCGAGCTAAACAGCGATAACCCTTTTAACTATACCTGTGAAAAGATGTTTAAAATGTGAGCATAAAGGATGTGTTTGTGATGTAAAGAAGTCTATTTTACCGCCTTAGGCTTGTAACCCTTTAAAATAAGGCATGTATAATTACAAACATGATGTAAATGTCTAACACTTGACCATTTCAACCAAAAGAGTTATTTTCTTTTCTTTATTTTGATATTAAGGAGCCCAAAGAGTAATATTATCCAGTATTCCACAAGAAAAACAGCAAATATTAGATACAAATCCTAATTTGTGTGCAACGGATGACTTCCTTTTTTAATAATTATCTCACAGCTCCTCCAACGTTATCATAATGCGACCTGTTGGGGACCCGACCCCCCATGTTGGAAATCACTGCTTATCACTGGAGCGGCACGTTGCCCCTTGAATGTTCCAGAATGTCCCTTCTAAAATATTTAAGTGCTTTATATATAACCATTTTCATATCATGTAAATCTAAATGATCTGAAGCTTTATAGGTGGAGGGTGGGTGTTACAAAACGATTATGCATTCTACATTTTACATAACGTTACCTGATGAAACGTATATTAAAGAGACTGTTTTTAAATGAAATGAATGTATTTTGTGGACTACTATTTACTATCATTAAAATTACTATCATTAAAATATATTTTTTTATTTTGTTCAAAATTCTTACTTCAACTCTTTATTTTATAAAAATATTTTATTATTTTTTGTATTTATCTTTAACTTTTTTTAAATCTTAAATGGAACAATTGGCCGTTAACGAATACAACAGGATATATATTAGTGTTTGTTCATAAAGATATTTTATTTCTGGGCAGAGTGTTAATGCGCTCAGGGGAAATAGACCCTAGAGGGGAGGTGCTGTCATAACAACCTGTAGACTTTAGGTCCACCCCATCAACTTACTGAACAGAACAACCTGTACACTATAGGTCCACCCCATCAACTTACTGAACAGAACAACCTGTACACTATAGGTCCACCCCATCAACTTACTGAACAGAACAACCTGTACACTATAGGTCCACCCCATCAACTTACTGAACAGAACAGAACAACCTGTAGACTTTAGGTACACCCCATCAACTTACTGAACAGAACAACCTGTACACTATAGGTCCACCCCATCAACTTACTGAACAGCACTGAGTCTGATGAATAACCAACAGAGTATGAGGTGCTTCAGATAAGGATCTGCTCATCCAGTGCTTTAGCTAGCTACAGTGTACATACAGTATGTCAATGAAAAACTGAAGTCACAGGCTCCTCCAACAGTGCAACATGAATATATATAGGACATAAAACTAATAAAATATTGCAAGAGAATGTTTTGAGATGTGCAAGTAAATACAAATAAAATAGTGCAAGTGCATAGAAGAGACTATATACACATAAATTGAATATGATTCATAGAAAATGAAATTGCAAGATGCAAACTGATGAATGTTTATGGATGTTCTTTACAGAGTTCAGGTGTTTAATAGTCTTATGGCCTGTGGAATGAAACTGCCTCTGAGTCTGGTGGGTTTTGTCCTAATGCTGCTATATTTTACTTCTACTTTACTTAAGTCCATCAGCTTTATACTTCTACTGGGGAAATGCATCATCACCAAGATAAAAACATGGCTGTTTCTCTGAGAAAACATGTGAAAAGTTGACTCTTAAGCAGTATGTGGTTTTCACAGGGCACTGTTACAAACACATCATCTTATAGAATATGATGCATTGCTGCAGATTAATCTAACCAACAGACTTCAGTAATGAACCTGGAACCTCAGACACAAAGTAAGAGTCTGTTTCTACTGTAGACTGACCTGAAGAGGAACATGTGTCTAACTGTTTGGCTCCCTCTAGAGTCCCAATGGCTGCATGACATCTGAATCTGAGTGTTTGATTAGGTGCTCCATCAGCTGATGGGGAACACACTTGGCTGATCAGCAGCTACTTAAACTCAGGTGTGTGAGTCTCACGTTTAATCACTTTGTGTGTGGCTCAGACATATCAAGTCCTCAACCAGGTAAAGTGACTCAACATTTCCTTTATAACAGACAACATAGCAAATGCTTAGGAAACATTTGGAAGCATCATTTTTTGGAGTGTTGGCAGGAGCTTTCTGATTTAAAATCTGGGTACTTAGAATGTCATTTTTGATAAATTCAGTATTTTCTTCTCCCTGACACATTGGGGGTTTTCTATACTGTAAACAGTTATTTGGTTGTGTTCAGACTTCGCCATGCCTGTAGACTTGCCTCTGAGATTTACTATAACGTTTCCAACTGTTTGATGATTCATTTTTCGGTTTTTCGTTCAATGTTATCTAGTGTGTTCCATTTTTATTCATTGGCTTTATTTACGTTTGTTCCACATTTGAGATCAGAGATTCAAGCTTTTCAAATGTATGTTTTGGTGTTGCAAGTCACTTCTGGTACAGAGTGTGAGGAGAGCACTAAAGGGTTCAGAACCACAAATCAACACGACTTATTTCACCCTAACATGCTTGGTGTATGAACATTAAAAGTCTGGTGGCAAACAATTGTGTATATTGAATATAATATGAATCTAATATTCATGTGTAGATGCAGGTCTCTAGCCACTGCAACAAAGAGAGACCAAAGTGAGAAACCTAACTGAAATGCCCTCATTAGCAATGCTTGAGATGTAGCTAGGTGTGAATGTCTTATCTTAACTGCAGTGGTTATTTGTTCCCCCTTTCTTGAGCAGTGCATCATTTTAAAACATTCTTAACATTGTAAACATACACTGAATTTGGTCCAAATACTCCTAGTAAATTCTACTCTAAAAGTGTCCTCCTGTTTGTGTAATGTTTGCTCAGATCTTTAGAATTCTTGCTGTGGATCCACACCTGACAGATCGTCCTCCTCTGCAGGTCCAATATGGCGGCGAAAGCTGTGAACAAACCTCCGTCAGCTCACCCAAGCAGAGTGCATGGAAACACTCGGGCTAACAGCGGTGGGCCGTCCTCTGATCAGCATCATCCAGGACTATACACCCCCTGCCAAGACCACGGAGCTCCACCCCAACACCCCCATCCCCAACACCCCCTCCCCCAACACCCCCTCCCCCAACACCACCTCCCCCAACACCACCTCCCTGGCCGGCCTGTCTTCTACGTCCATGCCCCACCCCCACCCCCTTTCCACCCCTGCCAGTGGCCCATGCCCTTCTCCTATAACCCCTTTGCTGGCTTCCCAGGAATGGGTGAGTCTTTACATTTTGGTGGAAACATTTAAAAATTCAGGTTTTTTTTGTTCTATATTTTAGGTGAAAGCCAAAGGCTGGGTTCAGTTAGTTTGATGCAAGCGATGGACACAATAACATGAACACTACAACATTTATTATCCAACACCAGAGATGGAAGAAGTATTCATATCTTGTACTTGAGTAAAAGTACCAGAGTGTAGGAATACTCTGTTCCAGTAAAAGTCCTGCATTCAAAATGTTACTCAAGTAAAAGTAGAAAAGTATGATCATCAAAATATAGTTAAAGTAGTGACAGTAAAAGTAGTCATTGTGCAGATTGGTCCATTTCAGAATAATATATATGATATGTTTTATAATGATTGATCATGAAAGTGTTCTCAAAGCTGGTAAAGGTGCAGCTAGTTTGAATGACTTTGTATACTGCAGGGTAGCTTGTGAATTTACTCCAGGTGGAACTAAAGTCTGATTTAACACTTGATTATATTTCACATCATTCATCCACATCTGTAAAGTAACTAAAGGTATTGAGTAACTGTATAAATAAAAGTTGAGTAAAAATACAAAGTAGCAGAAATGTAAATACTCAATTAAAGTACTAGTATCTCAAAATGGTGCTTGATGAAATGTTCTTGGTTACTGTACATCACTGTCGAACACAATGGTCTTATACTGTATGTATGAAACTTTGCTTTAACTTTTCTATGACAGAAATGTAAACTCAGATATTGAAATGTGAAGGTGCTGCTCACTGGACTTGAACGTCCATCTCCGATTCACCTTTTCTTGTTTCTACTTTTCAGGCTATGGTATGGGGATGCCCCCGTTCCCTCCTCCCAATCCCTATATGGAGATTCCAGCATACATCATGCCCCGCCCTGACATGCAACCGGTCGACTACAGACGTTTCATCCACCCCCAGGCCCAGGCTCCTAGCGTAGCGTATCAGAACCCATACCAGCCCTGTAGAGTCCACCCATACCAGCCCTGTAGAGTCCGCCCACATCATACCGACCCAGTTAGAGAAACCGTGAACTCGGAGGTCCAAACAGAACCCCAACAGAGAGGAAGAGGTTTCAGTGACGAAAGCCCACTCATCAGCGCAGATTCGGGTAGTGGAACCGCAATAAACTCTCCTTCGTCCTCGAGCTCAAGCTCCCAAAAACAAAACTCTGCTGAAGTTGAGAACGACGAGTTACACAGCAGTAATGCAAAAGACCTCCCGGTTAAAGAGACCAGTAACAAACATGGCTTTAACGTCCTCCGACCTACAGGAACGACAGCCATCCAGTCATGTATCCGAGCAACCCTGGACACTCAGAAGAGCCGAAAAGAGAGTGTGGGTCAGGAGAATGTTCCCCCGTGCCGGAACGCTCACTGCGACATGTGGTCTGTTGGCTCTCAAGATGGTATGGTTCCTGTGTGTAGCTCCTCCCAACAAGAGGAGGAGGTTGTCAAAGAGAGGCGGATCTCCGTTCCTGACATCCTCATGAGTCGGGGAGGTGGTACGCCTCAGGAAACGGTGCTGAAGATAGCAGATAAGCTGCTTCAGAATGACCTCCAAACTGAAGTAGAGCAGGATAAGTCTGTTCACCAGAGTGGAGTCGAGACCAGAATCAGTCCAGAGGCGGCTTGTCCTAAAGATGATGCTCAGGGTAACTTCAGCTCTGAGCAAAGTGAAGTCCTTTTCAAGATCCTCAAACTGAGAGAAGCTGAAGAAGAACAATACGCAGAGTCCAGGACGAATGAAGAGTATTTGGGACTTGTTGGCTCCGTAAGGCATTGTCTTCCATACGCAGATGAACTCCTACAATCCTCATCCCATGAGCTCCCTGACAATGAGCAAGAAGATAGCATCGAGACAAATCCGCTTGAAGACACGGCACCAATCATTCCCTCTATAAATAATAGCTCCTACCTGAAGAGAACCTGGAACGAGTCCATTTGGTCCGTGGAGTCTCTGGCCCCCTTCATCCCCACCAAGGAGTGGTTACAGCGTGACGACCTGTTGGCAGCCGATGTGATCGTGGAGCAAGCCGAGAACGATAACCCCATTGTCAAATCTTCCCCCACTAAAGAGGACAAAAATAGGTCTTCTGAACCTGAGGCTAATCGAAGCCCAAACCAGGACATTTTAAATGAGCAGCAGCAGAAGAAAAGGACCGGCCCTCCTCCTCAGCAGGAAGAGAGTCTGAACTTGAACTCTATTGAGAAGACGTGCGTAAGAAAGCTGAATCTACAAAATGGAGCGGGCATCGAGGTGGAAGATGGAGCGCTTGGGAACGAAGAAGTTAGTCGGCTTGGAAAAGAGCAGCTGTGCGTCCCGATGGCTGATCAGAAGACAGCAGAAGTGTCTCCATCGAAGG